CTTGATATAACTAAAAAATGCAACCAACACGACTAAATGTTTGCCTTCAAATACAAGGGCACAAGAAAACCAGGTTTATACCAGGCTTTCTGCGACGTACAGAAGGCTGCATTGTTCTGGGAGTGCACCAAGTCACTTAACATAAGTCACAATACATTTTTAAAGTATGTAGGTACTTTCGGTATAAAAAGTAAAATTTATCAAACAGTTCCACACGTGATGTAATAATGTCATGAGATTGGTAGCAGAGCCGTGAGTGAATGAGAGTATCCAAGAGAACGTTAGTCTCTGTTTGTCTGATATGCGAGGTTTCAAAGTTACCTGATTAGTCTCTCTGCAACAAGTTACATTAGCACCACATATTCTCTGATGTTCCTCCTCACATCTTTTCATTTTTTTTCCAAAGTTAATTGCTGATAAACACCCTTTGAGCTTGGACTGAATGATTGAGACTCATATAAACCTGCCGTGCCGGCCAACCCTGTGCAAAAGTGGAGGCTAAGCTATCAGCTTCAGTTCTATCAAAACTTGATATGCTCGAAAGCTTCAAACAAGAGACCTTTGAAGCATGGCAAAGGATGTCTAGTGGTAACATCTGTGGGTCTGCTTGGGTTTATCTATTGGAAGCCAGGCAGATTTATTTTCTTCCATGTGTGTGCATCTTGCATCTAGACTATATACCACCCAGTGCGCTTTTCTGTTCCCCACCACTAATAGAACGCGTAATTGCTTTGAGTAGAGTCTCACAATTCGAAGTGGATTTCAACAGGTAATAGGTATTCTCCAGGAAGTGTGCGCCTAGAACAGCATTAATCACGGTGATAATTGCCCCACATAAGGACGTGTATTCACATAGTCTGTTTCTGATGTCCAACTGCGTTGGGTCTGCGCTACAGAGATATGCTTGCTTCGTTGTAATAGTCAAGGGTCTTTGTCATAGAGAGAGTCTCCACCACAGTGAAAGCCATATTTCTACAGAGACTCATGTGGTTGTGTGCAATTTACGCTAGAGCAGGTGGACGATGAGCAACTGGGTAGCAAAGTGCGTCTCATACCGGGGGCTTTCCTCCTCATCTGTCGGCGGGCGCGCGACGCTGAGAGACAGCGGGTGTTTTCGCCCGGTGGCTGTCGCTGATCGTCTAAGCTCCCCGCTCCTGCCAGTATAGAAACAGCTTGCTGCGCTGGGACCAACGTAGCGACGGCGCGCCAGAAGGTAGAAGGGGAGCCCGGAATGCCGCTGATTGAGGTTATGCGGGAGCAGGCCCAAAGGTGCAAGAATGCTGAGCGCACTCCGGGAGGAGAGACTGAGGAGGAAGGTGATGGGTCGGGCGAGCGCAATCACGACAATTATCTGCACAGGAAGCGACCACTGATTAATCTCACTCCCCGCTGAAGAATGCTGGACGGGCATTGGGCCATCTGGCCATCAGCGCCAGGCGAGTAAACTGGGCACCAGCTGCTGTTTGGACCTACTGTGCCCAAATGATTCACCCAGTTCCGTACTGTCAATGGTATTAACCACGAGGGATACGCTGCCAATATGGCCTGAATCATCACATGGCCGCCCACAGGGATGGTTAGTGGTGCCAAGAGTCAATCACAAAAGATGCACATACATGCGATAAGTCGGGATCGTATTGCAGATGATACTCGCTGTGATACCCTGAGAGCCAGGGAGGAAAGTAAGACATAGAGGCGAATAACCATGAAGACGTATCGGCAGAACCGACAGATACCAAGGGGCATGGTGGTACTCACAGGAAACCATGAGCGTGAGACACCGTCTCAGGTCAATGTTCTTCAGGTGCATGCCCTCCCGGCTCCATGTAGTAGTTTCACCATACAAGGCCCCTCCATTGTCGGTCAAGAACCGAGCTGGTTCTAGACATCTCGCTGCGTAAGGAAGAATTACTGCATAGACATCTACGTTCGCGAACTGAAGCACGTTGTGCAAGTGCAATCTTAGATGAGAGCTGACTGTCTCTACTCTCAAGCCAGCAGTAACTGTGCTTTGAAACATGCATTGAACGTCTACAAGTGACTGAGTGTCAGCAATTGCTGCTTTCTGCCACAATGTGTCGTTGACACCCGTGGTAAAACCCGTCAACTAGTGTATGGCGTCCCATTGCGATAGCGCTGACTGTTGTGCCGGGTTCTGCGAACATAGTGATGAACGCTGATTGGCGCTTCCACCAGATGCAGCGAGAGCATGCTTCTGCAGCATCTCTGTCAATGTGTCGCGTCCGCCCGTAGATGCCACTGCCACGTTCCACTTCGTGTGCCTGCGCACCGTTCTGACAGTCGATATAAGGTGCCAGCCACTCCACAAGATAGACAAGTACCAGACAATGTATCTCACTAGTAGTGCGGCCGCCAGTGGGGAATGTAGATGTAAGCCATGGCAGGGACTGGTCATGGCGCTACGCATCTCTATGATAGTTCCCTTTGAAGGCTACATGTCAAAATGGTGAAGGACGGGTCACCTGTGACATGTGCGACACCAAATACCATTGGTCCCTCTATGTGCAATGTCGATACAGATGTCATGGACAGAAGAAGGCATCATGTACCCGAATAAACTACGTCCGGCAGTAATTGTGAGGCGTTGCACAGGAGACTATGTTTCACAGGGTTTTTTCGCTGATGAGTCAGGATAAACAAACGAAGCAAAACAAAAGATAGAGAAGCCAATATATATCCAAACTTGATTATCACCTTTTATCATGTTTGGAATTCATTACTACAATACATCACTTGATAACGGACAACACGTTAGAGGTTTTCACGCGTTTGGTCATGGTGTACCCTGAAAGCCACTTTGCTATGGGGGAAAGAATGGCCGGTTGGTGAGTAGAGAGGGGAGAGAAGGTTTGTGGCGAGTCTGGGGAGAGAGAGATGTGAATTGAGTAAGGCCGTAGGGGGGGGATAGTGGGGTGAGGCGCAGCTACAGGCCGAGATGGAGATGAAAGAGAGCGCAGTAGAGGGAGATGGTGAGGATTACAACTCACCGGTGGGCCAGAACGCATTTTACTGCGCGGCGGCGCATTGTAGACGGTTTAATCTGCAACAGTTCTGCGATTCTGGAACTGCATGACATTATTGTGTAAAGCGCCAACGGATGCTGAGAGAAGTCGTTGGACGGCGGAAACGTCTGGAGAAGCGCAGGGGAGCGGCAGGATTGGCTGGCGACAGAGAGAGCAGAGAGGCGGAGCAAAGGAATGTGATAGGTAAAAAGCCCAGCGCGTAATGAGAGTCCTCTCGCGCGCGTGGTGGCCTGCGGGTGCTGTGAGAGAGTCACACTCTGTCGCAGCGATGCGGGGGGGGCGCAACATGGGTGCTGGGAATCTATTGATAATGAATGATAGGGCGTGGAGTAGGGGAGAGATTTACTACGTTGCTCTGCAGAGACGCTCAACCAAGACGAGCATGGCATGTGTTATCATGTGGAGACACTCCACTTGAATACACCCGATGGGAGCCATTAACGGTAAACAAATAAACGGATCCTCTGATGGCTAGAAACTAAAGAAAAACACGGCGGAGGTGTCTACAGGAAGCCCCCATCCCTTCCTTCTTCTGTTCAGACTGTCAATAGCGCAGTAACATGACGTATATATCTGTATTATTAGCAGGTTAGTTATTAAAAAATGAACATCCCCAGCCCCCCCCCCAGGCCTCGTGTGTGCGGGGGTGACGGTGCCGTTACCGGGCTGCAGAGCTGGTGCTGAGGCAGGTGCAACGCGGAGGAGGTGTGGTGCGCATAGGCTAAACTGGTCAACTTAAAGGGAAAGTCCACACCTAAAACTCAGTCTTTAAGATTCCAAGGAAAAATTATTAATTTTCATTCTCAAGTTTTACAATTCAGTATTGTCTGCAGCCTCCTACCATTATTTTTTTTTCTTCTTTTTTTGCATTTTAAGAAATTATTTATAAAGCATTAACAAATAAAACACAGATACATAGGTTAACTACATAACAATCGACAAATCAGGAAAACAATTAAAATAAATAAATAAGTAAACAAATGGAAAAACATAAGGATCTTTACTAATACTCAGGTGTGACATTAATTTTCAGTTCTTTCCCTACATACCTCCACAGTGCTTTCCATGTGTGATAAGACAGAGCACACACTCCTCCAAACATAACTCTGACTGACTGATCTGAGCTTCATCCAGCAGAATGACTCCTCTTCCTCACACTTCCTCCAAAACCCCAAGGGGATCCATGCTAATTTGCAACACATTCAGACAACGAGTGTCTATGCATTTTGTGATGTTTTTCTCCAATTTGTTTACACAACTGTAATTAGGTTAGTTGAAAGCAATAATATTAAGTGAAACAAATTCCAAACTTAATATGATTGCTTTCAACTAACCTAAAGAGTTTACATGAAATGTTTTGAAATAATACATTTAATTAAAGCCAACCATTCAGGTTTTTCCATATAATTTGATGTTTGTGTTATAAGCAGTAAATCTGCACTGTTATTGGTGGATTTATGATGGTGTCCGATGTGTCTGTTGCTGCAGCAAAGGAGAAGTGAAAACTACACCATTTCCGGGATTTACAATTAAGTAATAAATAAACTGCTTGCGTAAAGGTTCCACTTAGTAAATATAATAATATATAATAATACATTTAATTTTTATAGCGCTTTTCCTGGTGCTCAAATACACTTTACATATAAATCAGAAACCGAAAACAGTACAACAAAAAAAAAACATTAACAGTGTCGTGATCCAAGTGTGGAGTAAAGTGTGTGTGCGTGTGCGTGTGTGTGTGTGTGTGTGTGTGTGTTGTGTGGTGTGTTGTGTGTGTGTTGTGGTGTGTGTTGTGTGTGTGTGGTTGTGTGTGTGTGTGTGTGTGTGTGTGTTGGGTGTGTGGTGGGAGGGGGGGGGGTTGTTGATCAGAGTTTGAGAGCTAGAGTAAAATGTGTTTGCAAGAATTTAATAAATATAAAATACCAAGGCAGTTTCCAGAAACCAGTGTACCAAACAAAGTCTGCAGCACTAGAGCAATGAGACCGAAGGATCAACATATTAAAACAAAGAAGGGGGTGTACAGTTGCAGTTTACATGTGGAATTGATTATATGAAGCAAACTCAATTAAAGATCAATATCATTTTAAAAAAACGTAGAAAAACATGCATGTTCTCATAATTCAGCAGCAAGCCATGAGAGATACTTTGCTAATATCAAAATCACATGAAATTCTGGGTCACAATTAGTACAACATCTTAAAAAAATACAAAAATGATTTCAGAGGCCCATTCACAGTCTTGGAGGGTAACACTCTTTAGTTTTTAGTGTAGTTGCTTAAGTTAAAATGTCTTGCTTGTAGTGATAAAGATGCATGCGTATAGCATTATGTAGAAACCTGTTACACCTACTCAATGCGTTTTGTTACTGTTTTATACATTTTGAAATATATGAGAGGCTTCAAATGAATATTAATGCATGACATCATTGTCTTATAGTTTTTCAATGAATTTGAATGAAAACACTTAGATGGTGATTCGGTCCTTTTCCAGATTGTTCTCACAAAAGTGTTTGTTTTGTCCTGGTGTATTCCGAAATGGTAGACTATCTCCAGCCTTTGGACTACCTGTTGTGTTAAACTGCTACTGCTTTTCCCAGGGTCTCCTTTTCTGATGACGATGGGAACCCTTAAAGGAAAGAGGAATATGGTTATGATTTAACAAATATCAAGGTTTATGTTTAATTAAATACATTGGTAATTTTGTAAATCCAATTTAAGCTTTTGGTAACATTTGCTTTTTCGGTCCACTAGGAGGTGCTGATGATATTTTTTTCTTATGATGTCATGTTGGTCAAAACAAAGATGAGTTATTGAAGAAAGAAATCACAAATTTGCTTTAGATAATTCAATGAAATTGTTTAGCAGTTGAAAAGGTTTAAAATTGCATTGTTACACAGTTTAGGAATATACATGATTCTGATTGGTCAATTTCGACAATCTACAGTCTGTTATTTCTGTATAGTAGACCGGTGCCCAGACCAAGAGACTATGTGCAGTCATATTAATCTGCAAAAAGAAGATCCGGTAAGTGTAAAAACAGCTATGGCAAATTACATTAGTTTGGTTAATCCATCAGAAAACCCAGTGGAACGTTTCCTGAATGTTATTTTGTATATACAGTGGGGAAAAAAGTATTTAGTCAGCCACCAATTGTGCAAGTTCTCCCACTTAAAAAGATGAGAGAGGCCTGTCATTTTCATCCTAGGTATACCTCAACTATGAGAGACAAAATGAGAAAAAGAAAAAAAATCCAGAAAATCACATTGTCTGATTTTTAAAGAATTTATTTGCAAATTATGGTGGAAAATAAGTATTTGGTCAATAACAAAAGTTCATCTCAATACTTTGTTATATACCCTTTGTTGGCAATGACAGAGGTCAAACGTTTTCTGTAAGTCTTCACAAGGTTTTCACACACTGTTGCTGGTATTTTGGCCCATTCCTCCATGCAGATCTCCTCTAGAGCAGTGATGTTTTGGGGCTGTCGCTGGGCAACACGGACTTTCAACTCACTCCAAAGATTTTCTATGTTGTTGAGATCTGGAGACTGGCTAGGCCACTCCAGGACCTTGAAAGGCTTCTTACAAAGCCACTCCTTCATTGCCCGGGCGGTGTGTTTGGGATCATTGTCATGCTGAAAGACCCAGCCACGTTTCATCTTCAATGCCCTTGCTGATGGAAGGAGGTTGTCACTCAAAATCTCACGATACATGGCCCCATTCATTCTTTCCTTTACACGGATCAGTCGTCCTGGTCCCTTTGCAGAAAAACAGCCCCACCATAATTTGCAAATAAAGTCTTTAAAAATCAGACAATGTGATTTTCTGGATTATTTTTTTTCTAATTTTGTCTCTCATAGTTGAGGTATACCTAGGATGACAATTACAGGCCTCTCATCTTTTTAAGTGGGAGAACTTGCACAATTGGTGGCTGACTAAATATTTTTTGCCCCACTGTATTTAGGAGCCCAGAGCAGCCTTGTTGCACAACACCTCAACTTTCACAACTAGCTTTCATCATTGATCGGCACATGCATTTTGAGAGATGGCTGGTAGTGTGCTCCTCTCGTGACTCAAAGCAGACACATTTGAGAAAAGTTAGAAATAGAAACCAGTAAGTAGAAATGTAAAAACACAATAAGGAGTCTCTTGTTTGGGGATTGGATTGATCAGTATGCACTTTTTAAAGCATGATCCATTGCTTCTTGGTTCTCAATTTTCAGATTCTCAATACAGCACAGCTGCTATGATCCTGAGTCAAGAAGCAATGGATCATGCTTTAAAAAGTGCATACTGATCAATCCAATCNAAATGCCAATCCAAGCTTTAATCTGGATCAAAGCTCAAAAGTGTAGTTCAAAACCGATCAAAACAGTATTTTTTTTTTTTTTTTTTTTTTTTTTTTGGTAGTTCAAACCGACAACACAGGATTGGGATCAGTTTGATCCCAAAAAACTGGATTATCCTGATCCCACCAAAGGGGTGGATTTCCAGTGGATTACCAGAGCAAAATGTACTGTACAATTTATTTTAAAATATGTTTCAATTTAAATAAGATGGCAAAGTTTGTTAACTGAAATAATACACAATTTTTAGCCTTCATGGGAAATACATTTTATTTTTTCAATTTTTGCTCACGTTTGTGGTGGCCTATTTTGTTTTCAACCAAATGTTGATGACATAAATGTTTATGCTCATAAAAGTATCACAGCAAAGATTGTCAATCACAAATGTAATTTAGATTAAAGTAAAAATATCTTCAACAAAAAAAAAGTCCATCATCTGTCATCACCTTTCAAATAAAAAAATATAATTAAACATTATAGATGTCTCTGCAATGTGGTCTCTTGTCTTCCTTGTATTATTTTTCATGTCCACTAGATGGCGATCGGTAGGATTAAAGCACTGATATTCAGGATCTAGTCATCTTGAAAAATCGTAATCTGGATCAGGCTGATCCTATCCTGAATTGCTTTGAACTCCAGGGACAAAATCTGGCCGACTTGTCTGATCCTGGGTCACAAAAAATGGGATTTCAAAATGGGATCGGATCTGATTGAGATTAAAAGTTTTGAACTCCTGGGCCCTGATGACTAAAGTAATAGGGTTGTTTTGACAATGTATGGCGAAAAGAATATCTCTAGTTTAAATAGGAAAACGGTTTATAAGATCACTTCACTCTGAAGTGCTTCGAGATTTGTCTTGGCAGATGAGAAGCGCTATATCAATTAAATGTATTAATTTATTATTATTACTTCTGCCTTGTGACAATTTGTTGATTTAAATAACTGCGTGTGCCACAAAGTGGTGTAATGCTAACTGTATGACGTACCTGTCCGCGGTAGTTGGCGCACTGCTTGGTGAGGATGTTGTTGATCTGAGGGTCCTGGATGGAGCTGAACACCATCGTCTGCCGGTAGTGCCGGGCCCAGTTGTTCAGGTTCCACATCCTCACCCTGGAGAAGTCCACTCCATGAGGGTCTAGCGGCTGCAGGTTAATGTGCTGCATCACATGCTGTAGAGAGACGGATTGTGTCATTAGTTGAATGCAGGGTTTCCCACACATAGACTTTACTTGGGCGGACCGCCCAGGTATATTAACGGCCGCCAAAGTATATTTCCCGACCCATTTAGGTTTTTTGTTATCCGTCCGCGAGCAAGACGCCATCTGCGATCGATTAACTAGTGGAGAATGATCCCTCGCTCTACGCCTCATGTACCTGTTTGCTCTGCTATCGCGTGAAGGGTCTGCTAACAAGCGACCAACAGAAAGGGAGGCCTTACGAGAAACACAGAAGACGTTTCTTTCTTTCTCCCCCCCTCGTGCCCGGCTACCACCACTAGTATATTTCAGATCTGTAGGAAACACTGGAATGAGACATCAATGTATCACTTTCTAAGAGGATGATCATAACAGCATGGCTTTGGGGGCAGATTTTCATTGAGCAAATCGTTTTTTCACCTAATGCAATAGTGTGTTTTTGTTGAGTTAGCTCTTGGTCAAATGCTGAGGGAGTTTAGGTGGGGCTTTTAGTATTAGAGTTAAAAACAGAAGGAGCAAAGCTGCAATGCACTGTCTTTGACAATGTTGAAAATAGAGTTGTTGCCATCTTAGTTCATGCTTGATTGCACTAGGAAACCGCAACTTTATAAGTATACCCACAGTGTAAGGGCTGGGTGTCAGAAGCTTGAGCACAATGCATCCTGGTACATGAAGGCAATGCAGCATGGCTCCGCGAGCAGTAGAACTAAGCTTTTTTTCAAACCAATATCTTCAATGGACTACAATAACCTTTAACATTTACTAAAAAGATCACATAAAAAAGGTGCACTACTTTCCTTTAAGCCATACATTTATTTTTCATTACAACCGAGTTTCCAATCGTGACTTTTACAAATCAGAATCCAAAAATACTTTCACAAAAACATGCTGAAAGTCTGATTGGCCTTTAGAGTTAAATGCAACATTTCAATATGTTGTGATTAATCCAATTATCAAATGAACAGCAGATGGCGTCACATCCTTCCCAACAAAAAAAACAAACAGTTGATGTCATAACGCAGCAATAGGCGCATTCACACCGCAGTACTTTTCCCACAAAGGTTCATGAAAACTTAGTTCATGAGAACTAAAGAGTTCTCATGAACTAAGTACAGATTGCGTTCACATCGGAATAAGTTCCTGGGGAAGGATTAGGCAAATGAAGCCGCTGACGTCACTTCTTCTTCTTCTGCTTTGGGTTTACTGGCAGGCCGCAAACAACTTCACGGCGCATACTGCCACCCTACAGTCCCCGGAGTTGGGGTCTGGCTTCAGTAGAAGCCTTCCGAGTAAATCGCCAGAACGCCGACACCTCCTCATTTCCACCACTCCCATGTTTTCTTTTGTGTTGCCATAAGTTAGTCTCTCTGCGTTGGTGCGCTGGGCTAATGCTAATAATGCTAATGCGAGGATAATAAAAGGGCGGCTTCACAAAACCTTTTTGACGTTTTACGGGGCGTGGTTTGCAATCCGCCCAGCCAATCAGATATAGGAACCTTTTTCTCCCACGAAAGTACCTGCTCTCTAGCAGGGACGGAAAAGGGTGTAAAAAGGTTCAGATTAACTCATTTTAGTTCCGGCTCTTTTTGGTGTGAATGCGACATTTCGGAACTATATCGGAACTAAAGTGGGAAAAGTACTGCAGTGTGAACGTGGCTTATTTGTAGCGTTGCAAGCAGGTGATATTCTCACCAACACGTGTTCCCAGTTCTGCATGAGTAAGACGTCCGCCTGGTCCACTACCAGCATCTCGATGGAGGAGAGGAAGTCAAAGTCTCTCTTACTTTCTCCTTCTGCTCCCAGCACTGTGCGGAGGCCCAGCGGAGACGCAATGATGATGTCGGAGGAGTAAAAGGGGGCGTACAGACGTAGGCTGTTCCTAACGATGGAGATGCCTGTTCAAGAAAGAGGACAACAACAAGATTAATAAAGAAAGACTCAGGGAGAATATTAGGGATGCCAGTGATTATTCGATTATTCGAATATTCGTTACAGTCTCCATAATTGAATATTATTTTTAAAAATCGATTTTATTTATATATATATATTTTAATTATTATTTATGTATTTTTTTATTTTTTCTGGCTTAGTTTCAACCAAAATATAGACTAATGCTAGTAATAGTATTAATAATTGTAAATGGCCATTGGTCACACCACCAGTTTGTTTTACTGTAAACTTGGAGGAAGCCTGCGTGCAGAGCAGACTGCTGCTGCAGCACGCTACACACCGACCCCGCCCCCACCCCCCCTCTCCCTCACACGTGCGACTAAAGATGAACAAAGCGGCAGGTAAAAAGAGTTCCTCCTCGTGGAACTACTTCGAACTTACAAGTCCAAAGGAAGTTAAATGCAAGCTCTGCGAAAAAACGTTGGTCTATCACAGCTCAACCTAACAATTGTCTGTCGTCTATGTATGCTGCGAAGCACGCCCCGAAGAGTTACAGAGAAAGACGCCAGCACTGCTGCCGCATACCGCATCTTCTATAGTATTATGTGCTATGGCTATGTGTCTAATATGAAAAAAACAATTAATAAACCAACACGTAGTCGTTTTGTTTGCTACTGGGTTAAACATGTCCGAGTAAATTCGAGTTATAGACAGGCTGCCCAACTAATCGTGTGATCTACTTACAAGTTCAGATTTATTTCATTTACAAACTGAAAGTAACCAAACACTCCTGAGCGATGCCTCAGTCCCTGAAACTTTGCCCTGAAAGGTAGTAGGTGTAGAGTAGACCTAGTGGTCACCGGTGGTATGTGCGGTGGTTCCCAGGGGGTACGTGAAAAGATTTTGAAAAGTAAAAAAAAAAGATAAAAAACAATGGATTTTAGTATTTTTTTTAATACTAAACATTTTACAGGAAAACCCTGTACCCAAATAGATAATGATAATCTTGTAATAAGTAACCAAAATTTGTGGGCATTCAAATAAAGGATAATAATTGGCTGTCTATATATTATTATTGGCGCGGGCGTTTCAGCTTCCCGCCGGACTGTCAGGTGTTACATCATCATACATCATCATTGTAGTGGTGCTCGCTGGTTTTCTTGCTAGCTAGCAAAGTATCAACAATCCCTATCAAGTGAATGCGCTGGTGTTTATTGAGATCAACATTTCTGTTAACATAATCTATTTTGGATCATGGGTGAAAGTCGAGCTGGTTCATCCAGAAACACACAGTAGACAGGTGATACTGCTTGAATCAGGAGAATCCGTTCTCAAGAAAAATGGAAAACAGGAGAAGGTGAAGAATCGTCAGCTTGGTGAACATTATGTGCTCTCCGGGGTTTACGGTCACAACTACAGAGCCACCGCAGCCAATGTGTTTCATCTGTGGGAACGCGTGCTTCTAATGAATCAGCATGAAACCATCCCCATTTACATCGGGCCCACCTTAGTAACTAGACCATCCCGCTGTGTGTAAGCCTGCAGAGAGTTTTTCACCAAAGCTTGGGCTGAATTTAAGGGGAAGCCAAGAAAACTAAAGGAAAGCCGGACATCGGTCTCAACCAAGGCCTTGCGAGGCATCATTATGCTGTGTCGCTACTCGCGTTGCTAAATCGAAAAGCCATATTAACCATTACCGGAAGAGCATACATTGCCTGCTGCTATAATTCTCGCAGAAAACTATGTTCGATAAGAAAGCAGCTGATGTCGTGAAGGAAAGCGCCGTTGTCAAATAATACTGTGTGCCATCGGATCGACGACAATGGAAATTGAACATTATTGACTAAGTGGTGGAAAAAGGTAAAGCGTCTGGTACGCTTCGCTTTGCAGTTGGACGAATCAACGGAATGTCAATGGGTCGAAAGCACAACTGATTGCGGTTGTGCGCTTACAAAGAACACTTTGGAGTATGAACGAGCACATTCTGTTTTGCAAGAAACTCACGGGGAGAACTACCGGACGGGACGTTTTAACGTTATTGAACAATGTTTTCTCTCAACACAAGCTGGGATTGGGAAAATCCTGCTCTCATGTGTGCACAGACCGGCGCTGCGGCGATGAGACCGGCAGAGTAAATGGATTTAATGGGCCCACATAAAAAAGGTAAACCCTGACCGTTACATGGACGCACTGCATGATTCACCGAGAAGCATTAGCTAGCAAGAGAATGAGTCCAGAGTTAAACGATGTTTTGAATGATGCCGTAAAAGTGATCAACTTCATACAGTCCAGGCCTTTGAATCAGACTGTTTCAGTCACTTTGTGAAGACGGTGGGTCAGAACATAAACAGCTCCTGCTTCACACTGACGTCCGCTGGTTATCCCGAGGGAAGACGTTACAGCGGCTGTTCGAGCTACGCAATGAAGTGAGGGCATTTCTGTCGGAGCACACACACCCACTTGTGGCTATGTTCGACGACGCTGACTGGGTAGCTCGGCTGGGATACCTCTCTGATATTTTCAGCAAACTCAACCAGCTGAATCTCTCTCTTCAAGGTAAAGACACAAATGTTCTTAGCTTGTATGACAAAGTGTGTGGATTCATGGAGAAGATCAAGCTCTGGCAGAGCAAATGTGAAAAAGGGGATACAAGTTGTTTCCTGCAGCTGAACGCATACATTGCTACTGGTGAATGTGACAGAGCTCCAATTGTGAAAATAGTACACACACATTTGTCCAAGCTCAAGAATGAGTTCAACTCCTACTTCCCTGATATTGAAAACAAGTCATCCACACTGGACTGGGTGCGTAATCCATTTGTGACGTGCATTAACAGCAGCATTCCCGCCAGACTGCAAGAAGACCTCATAGATGTGTCCTCAGATAGGAGCCTGAAGATGAGGTACTCAAGCACACCACTGACACAGTTCTGGTGTGGTGTGGAGAAGGAGTATCCTGAATTGGGGAAACATGCCCTGAATGAACTGTTGCCTTTTGGGTCCACATACCTGTGTGAGGTGACATTCTCCGCCATGACCCACATCAAGACTAAACACAGGAACAGACTCAACTTGGAGAATAACCTGGTCACAGCTGTTGCAACAATCTCCCCCAGACTCACAAAACTGATGAGGGAGAAACAGGCTCAAGTGTCACATTAATTTGTGAGTTACCTTACTTTTTTTTTTAAGTCTTTAAACAATGGCTATTATAATGTATATGATTAGTTATGATTGAATATGATTTAAGTGTCACATTAATTGTCGCATTGGGTCACACAGACAAAAATATCCTCCTCTTTTCTATCTCTCCTCGTCACTTCTCTCCTTCTTCCACTCCCAGGTTTCATCTTAGCTACACACACACATTTTACACACACACACACACACACACACACACACACACACACACACACACACACACACACACACACACACACACACACACACACACACACACACACACACACACACACACACACACACACACACACACACACACACACACACACACACACACACACACACACTATATCCTGGGGATCACCACGATTGATTGCGTAGTAGGGGGTACTTTAGGTTGGATTGAAATGCTTTGGGGGTACAGTACTCAAAAAAGGTTGGGAACCACTGCCCTAGAGGATATCAAAGAGTATGTTGACTCAGGTTTACTAAACTGTACCTATCCTGAAGTGATCGTCCACGTTGCCCGAGAAGATTGTGCGGTAATCGTCTGGTCTCTGCAGATTGGACGGATTTTCATCTTCCTCCTCTCCGAACTCATCTTTGAACCTCTTCTTGTTGCTCACCACGATCTTTTTGCCTTTTGTCTCCAGCAAGCCGATGAGCGTCTGGACGACTCGCAGAGCTCCAGCGCGGAACGGAACCAGGATCAGGGCCTGGAATAATCAGAAAAACATCTAAATCAGAGCTGGAAAATGTAATATTGTGGAATAATTTAGAAAGACGATGATAGCAGAGGACATTAATGTCACTGTGGGTGTCCAATGATCCATACTGCCGCTTAAGTATAGGCTGGGGCATCACCTAATAAACTGTTTTTTAAATCTAACAATCAGGGAGTGACTGATAAATTTTTGCATTTCATATAACACATATATTATTTGTGAATTGTATGCTGTTCAAGGGGAAATGTGATTCACTCCATTTCGCTGACAGGCTGGGAGAAGTGAAATGAATGATTTCCATAATGATTTCTACGTTTTTAAACACTAAAACAATGTTTTTAATGAAGGTTTTACAATGTGTAACAACATAATCCCCCTTACGTCTAAGGCATGGCACCCCTCTACACAAATGTGTACTCAGTGTTGGGCAAGTTACTTCCAAAATGTAATACAGTACATATTACTGCCTTTTTTAAGTAACATGTTACATTACAATATTACTGTCTCTGAAATGTAATGAGTTACACTACTTTCATATTACTTTTGAGTTACTTTTCCAAAATACCCGCAAAAGAATGGCTAGGTATTTTAAAGGCTAAAATGTAGTTTAGTGCAGCTCATTATACATCCAGTGAAGGGCAATGTGGTATAGCATAACAACTGTGTAGGCCATTAAGGCTACTAACAACTTGTATTACACGGCTTAGTTGAATACTCGATTCTGATTGTAAATTCTTAACATGTGACATGTTGTTAATACAGTCATACAGACCACTGGCAAGGACTATAATGAAGGTTGCTAAGGAGGATCAAGAAAGAGAAAGGAAAAGAGGTTAAAAGACGGAGACCTGGACCTCAGATAAATCACCAAAAGAACCCGACGCGAAGCGGAGGGATCTTGATGAGCCTGAAGGGTAAACACCAGGCTTAATAATCTACCCGCACAATTTTTCTCTGGTGTCGGATTGTCTCGCTATGTTGGTAAATTCTTAAAAAACAAAACACCATTTAATTTCAAGTTCAAATGAGTTGTAATAACTGCGTTACTGAGAATTTTAACGGGTAACATATTACCCAAAATGCATTAGTAATGCGTTACATGACTACGTTACAGCAAAAAGTAATAAATTACTCTAACTCCGTTACTTTTGTAATGCGTTACACCCAACACTGTGTGTACTACGGCAAACACTGTAAAAAAAAAAAAGTATAAAATGTGATTCAGCCTGAAAACCAGAGAGGAAATTAATAATGTATTACTAATACAGTACTCTTGGTATTTGAGACTAAAACGGGCACAAAATACCCTAAAATTACAGTTTTGTGGGAGTTTAAAAAAGTAAAATGGAGCTCCGTTGAGAAGCCAATCATAATGTATCCAGGACTTCACCTTGGGCCGGGTCAGTCCCTGGTCTCTGGGTTCGTCCTTTGGCTCAGCTCCAGCTCTGTTCTGGGTCTTCTGCTCCCTCAGCAGCGCGTTGTGGGCCAGGACTCTGGAGTTGGCCTTCAGCACGTGGTTGAGCACGTGGAGGCAGTATGTGCTGCAGACCTGTGGGCCCTGGTTCACAGGGCACATCTCTGGGAAGTAGAAGTCCTTGTAGGAGCCCATCAGAGACAGCAGCTCTTGCTGCAGTGGGCTGATCTCCTCCGACACCCCCTTAAAGTTGGAGATCTTGTTCAGATCCCTCCAGTGGCTCTCCAGAACCCTGTGGAACACTGGCAGGTGTGTGTCTCTGTGGGGGCCGATGGGTCCAAACTTCTCCAGGGGATTGGTACAAAGTAAAGAGCCCAGTTTTGGCCACTAAATGTAGGGGGAAACGCAGAAAGTAAAACACATCAACTGCAGTTAGAATTTACTTTAATAAAAAGGAGGTTGATCTTGAAGAATTGTGCACTTCATACCGTAATCTGAGCCTTAGTTTTGTTGCCAGATGTCATCTTCTGCACATCGTCTTCACTAAGCTCCGTGTTCAAATGCTGCACAAATATGTCTGTATAAACAGAAACATCATTGAAAGCGCTTCACAAAACCAATAATAAAACTTAAAAGAAACAACAAAACTACCCCCCCCCGCTTTCCTATACAAATACAATACACAGTAACACATAACTGTGAGATTAAAAACATTTAATACCAACAGAAGTCATAAACACAGGGCTGACAAAAACAAGAACAGAATAATACATTAAGAATACAATTAAAATAAATACAATTCAATTAAAAAATAGTTTTTGGGTTTAATATTCCTTAACCTTTTTTATATAGCAGGGAGTACACTTATTTTGGAAATACAAAGGATGACATAACATGCATCCAGACAGGGAATGTAGGATGACATATTTGACATAACTATTAATTGCTATGAGTCTTTTTCTTACCCTTGCTGTCATCCTGCTCTGCATCGCTGTCAGCGTCCTCTTGTCCTCCCTCCTCTGTGAAGTTGGTCTCCAGACAGAACTGAGTCTCATGTTCCTTGTCTTCAAACTCATCTCCTGCCTCCTTCATCTCCTCTCCTTCCAGCGCTTCAGTCAGAGCCTCATCTGCATCCTCAGGTTCTTCCTCACCTCCTTCATCATGCTCACTGTCATCATCAACTCCATCACTGTCCACTAGGATTTGGAGCAAAACAGTATTCAGACAGCTGCATCAAGTTGGCCTATAGCGTCCTCAGTGAGGGTGCAACCAATGAGTATTTACAATCTGGATTAAGCAACGTATGTATATGTATATATATGAAAACTGCATTTTTCCATTAAAGGCTGATCAATTATCAAAACAGTGGTTGATTATTTATCTGTCTTTATTATAAATTAATCCATTAGTCAACTGATCGATGCAGCTCCTGTCCTCACTGTGTGCTGTAAAAGAAAAAAAACTCACCTTCACCAAGAAGCTCTTCTTCTTCCTCCTCCTCTTCATCATCATCGGTGCTCTCCTCTTCACTCTGGTCATTACTGGTGGCTTTGCTGAGAGTTGAAAGAAGCTTCTGATAGGCTGATTTCTGCTCGGGCTCCTCTTCCTCATTCCCATCCTCCAACTCATCAGGCTCAACATCTGAATGTTCTGGACTGGCTGGCTTTAACAGAGGTGCAGGGAGAACACCTTTGAATGTGTATATTCATTTTGGTATAGGTACAAAATAACTAAACTGGAGTGTGTCTGACTGGGTGGTCCACAATTTATTTCAGATATATCAGACAATCATCAATCTCACTAGCATAGGTTGGGCATCAGAGCTACTTACCAGTTCCAATATCTCAGTTCGTTCAGATCTTGCACCGACTCTGTATAAAAACACAAATTGGAGTCACTTTCTTTGAATAAAAGCATTTATTTTTTTGACCGCACACTTGACTAGATAACAAAAGACCTTGGTCTAACATGTTGGTGTTAGAATATTTATAGATAAAGCAAAGGACCTGACTAAAAAGTGAATTAGGGTGCATTTTGGAGAATGGATGGAGACAATAGCATGGTGAAAAAAGTGTGAAGGAAGGCTATGTCTAGAATTTTAGGGACAAAAGGACAGGTTACCGGAACACACACGTCAGGAAACGTATATGCCTCAAACCTCACTGACATAAAAATAAATCTATGCTACAACTACGAGTTGTTAACCCAATGAAATCTATTATCCAATGTCTGTACAGAGTAATTCATCCATGTGGTCAAAGGCTTTTGTGTAGGTAAAATAGTGCAGTTAATATTCTTGTGGTTGGTTCTTGTAGCCATTGTTGTAATAAATGGATATATCTACAGTAAACACATTAGCAGACAGCAAATATTAGCACACATGAGCTATTTAACTTTTATTTGACTTGTCAACCACCCTTAACGCATCAAATATCGGGTATATCGTTAAAATTACGTACTCCTTCGAAAAATATTCGTCATATGTTTTTTAATAATACCACCATTATAACATTTAGCGAACATTACCTACTGTAGCCTATACGGCTTGACTGTTAACACAGGTGTCTGAGTGCAACTTAGCTATATGGCTAACATAAAAGTAGCCACATTGATACTTAAAGACAAGCCGGACTTTGCTGTGCTGCTTACACATCATGAAACGGATGCTCCTCTCCGAATTCCTTTAAGTGTTTCTTCTGTTTCTTGGTTAAAGTTGTGAAAAGCTGCTGTTTCTGGTTTCTTTTCCCCATTTTGACACTGGACGACACGTGCGGTCCTCCAGCTTCTTCGGTGGTGGTTAATCAGTAGCTTTACTACCATCCTCAGGTCAGGAGTGGAATTACATGTTTGTGATCCTAAAAAAGATAATAGGCCTAGACCCTAGCCTAGAGTATTATGTTCATATATTGCTGCGTAGTCGAGTGAGTTATATATATTGTGTGAAAACTATTATGTCGCCTACAATAAAAATAATGTGCAATAAAAAAAAATCCAATTTGAGGAAATCTTTCATATAAAAATACATGACGCCATTTGAATTCAATCAGAATATACTTTTGTTATGCAATAAGTACAGTTGCATCCGAATTTATTAACATTTTTGAAACAATTTGACAAAACAAAGCCTTGTCTGCCGTGATGCAGGCATCAGAGTGTGTCAGCAGGTCCCCAGGCAGAACAATCCCATGGGTTCCTTTTGAGCAATATATTAAAAATATATCCCACATATTTGTATTTTCTGAGAGGTGGTAATAATTTGAGAAAAATGTACTACATTGAGAATAAAGTGATCATTTTTAAAGAAAAAATACATGATAACAGTAACAATTAGGGCAATCTCCTAGATTTATTTTACTATAATAATTTGATTTAGTGATGATCTTTTGGCTGGTGGTGTTTGCTCACCCTTGGTAGCATTGCAACATAAACTATATATTTGGGGACAGGGGACATTTTGTGTTTATTTATTACAACCTTGATTTTGAAATGTTTATGCATTTCTTATGAATGTAGCCTACCTATGCTAACTGTAACTACTGTAGTGCCAAAGCCCTATTCATTATGCCATTGTGCCGAAAAGCATCTCTCACTACAAATCAATAACATTATCATGCAAAAAAACATTTTCGTATAGCCATAATCCTATAATGTAATGTATACAAAAAGTTGGTTGATGTTTGATACATGATTCTTACTTCAGGGACAGAGGGTAATGGAGTTTGCAGCAGAAGGTTATCTGTAGGCTTTTAAGGGCACTTGGAATTAAAGAGCAGTCACAGGAGTAGTCAACCTACCTGCTGTTTGAAAACTAACCTTGATAAATTATTGAACCTGATAATATCAATTTACTATGTGCCTGTTTTAGCTGTTACCATGGCAGAAGCTCATGTATTATTAACAATTTGGGTGTCTAGTTTGTGCACTCGTTCAGCCCATTTTGACGTGTCAATGGGGATTTTATTGTTTGATAATTGCACTTTACTATGGCTGTGGCTGAAAGAGCACGAGTGGCTTTTCTGAATGGGATGTGACACATATGGGACTGTCAATGGAGGGGCCCAAAGTGAAAGAAGAGAAAGAAAGGTCTGGGAAAACAGTGAGGTTTAGAGTGGCGTCTGCCAACAGCGGCCGGGTCTTGGCGGAGGTGTTCAAGGATGAAAGGGCCTGGGGCGGCTCGGTGTCGGACTCAGTGGACTCTGAACGCACCAGCAGCAGTCCAGAGGCTGAGCAGGGGGGCCTGCCTCCCACCAGGGAGGCCAATCGCCATCTGAACGGTCTGGTGGTGGAAACTAGTGTGGATGAAAACGGCTGTGAACCTGCAGATGACTTGCTTTTGTACGCCAGTGCCAAGAGAGAGAGGCTCTTCAGCAAACAACGGATTAACATCTGCAGCAAGAATGGGACCATACGAGGAGTGAGGAACAAAGTGAGCGCAGGTCAAGAGCTTTTCAACAACCTCTCCAACATGTACTCGGTAAGCACCTGCAAAATCTTATTGCCGGTTATCTTGATTGCATGTTTATTCTGGTGTGATCTGAATTTTTAGGGGGAAAAAAGGCTCAAGTTTTTTCATGCATGTGGCATCTAAATTGAAAATGATCAAAAACCATGATTCTCAATAGAGGTCCCATGATACGATATTATCAGATAATTAAGTCATGATACGATATCAATAGGATTTTTCATGATTGGCAATATGCTGAGTACTGCGATAACATAGGTTGATATATATGTAAGAGATAATGTGCAATTTAACATAGCAATATTCAACACTGTTCATTTTAGTGTTATATTCCTGTCAGTCTTCTGTTGAGTTTGCTGTACGATAGCTTTTTGTGTCTTTTAACCTCTTTCCTTCTCTTGCACTGTTTTCTTGTTCTTGTTCAATCTTTCTTTTCTTTACTCTGGAGAGATAAGCTATCATGAATCCATCATTTTGGCTTTCCATATACAGTGGGGCAAAAAAGTATTTAGTCAGCCACCAATTGTGCAAGTTCTCCCACTTAAAAAGATGAGAGAGGCCTGTAATTTTCATCCTAGGTATACCTCAACTATGAGAGACAAAATGAGGAAAAAAAACCAGAAAATCACATTGTCTGATTTTTAAGGAATTTATTTGCAAATTATGGTGGAAAATAAGTATTTGGTCACCAACAAACAAAAAAGATTTCTGGCTCTCACGGACCTGTAACTTCTTCTTTAAGAGCCTCCTCTGTCCTCCACTTGTTAATTGTATTAATGGCACCTGTTTGAACTCGTTATCAGTATAAAAGACACTTGTCCACAACCTCAAACAGTCACACTCCAAACTCCACTATGGCCAAGACCAAAGAGCTGTCAAAGGACACCAGAAACAAAATTGTAGACCTGCGCCAGGCTGGGAAGACTGAATCTGCAATAGGTAAGCAGCTTGGTGTGAATAAATCAACTGTGGGAGCAATTATTAGAAAATGGAAGACATACAAGACCACTGATAATCTCCCTCGATCTGGGGCTCCACGCAAGATC